ATTTTAAGGCGCAAGGTTAAACGATAAGTAACAGCAGAAGCACTTATGGATATGAACACAAAGCAAACATGCGGCCCAGTAGAGAATGGTTTAGTTTTTAATCTCAGTGGTAAGGTAGGTCGTGCAAATTTTTGATGTAAATTCCAACGCGGTGTGAAGTGAACCGACATAATCCCGAATTACTTGACTACTGAATTGACAAACGTTCTAAAAAAGGAACAAGAGGGAAACAGTACTTACAGTTTTACGTTCACTAGTAAGCTCCCAATCGATATTCAGATTGAATGCGAAGGATGCAAGTGTTCTGAAGAAAACAAAACAAATCTACTCATTACCACTCAGTAACGAAAAGTGTGCGGATATGTTCCTTTTTGATCACGTAGGAGTTGAGGGTCATAAATGCGATCGGATAAAACGAGAAAACAAGGTTAGTAACATATTCATTGTATCTCAAGGTTCAACTAAAGGGGGGAGGGGAAGGTTTCAATTCAAACAAACTTTTAAATTTAGCAAGTTTTACAGTGAAATTTGACCAATAATAACGCACGTACTAACTGAAAGAGAGAATAAAAGCGAGTAATATGCTACGTGTTGTAGACTTGTAATACTTGGAGCCTACATACTCGATACAGATTAGTTGGTAGGTTAAAAGGTCAGAGAGTGGAAAAAAATAAAGGGTGTCATAACTTCTCGTATAAAAGTATCATTTACTATTACCTTAGTTCGCATTTGATTTGCACCCAGCCTGGACTTCGAAGAAATGACCAAGGATGGTACCTGGAAAAAAAAGGTAAAACGTTAATACGATTCAAAAAACGTTGACCAAAAAGCAGTAGCCATGTGTCCGATCTAATTTGTAGCGTGACAACAATGACTGTCACCTAAAGATAACCAAAAATTCAGGCTGTTACTAAGAGGCAGTTTACGTACCACTTTCCTACGACCTCTTCACAGGCACACAGCGTCTCTAGCCACAGGTGAAGACATTGTTCGCTGTTATAAATAGAAAACCACTGAATTCATATCACCGTCTTCATAACACCTCATAAATTATTTAAACAAAATATTTGAACTATTTCCTCGACAGCTGTTCTGCGGAGGAGGAATACAACCAGAGGGAAATTATAATTGTTGAAAGAATTACTCACTTCAGACCATAGCAGATTAGAGACCGGAACTGCAAAAAGAATAAAGGAGAAAAAAACAACATGTAGGTGAGTTCAACAATAAAAATACTCAGGGCCTTCTTAGTTTGTCAAGTAAGGATTGTGAAACAAACCTACGAGAGAAGCATTTTTTAGTTTAATTCTGTTTAATAAAACGCTCTATGCAAAGTTTACAGACTACGAACAAGTTTTCTATTGAGTTGCGCCGATCATGCGCGCAAAGAGACCACGTTCTGAAACGTGATTAACGAATATCTTTTCTTTTTTTTCACAGTCTTGACAGGAAAAGAAAAAAGCTACAACGTTTGCTCTGTTTCTATCGAGTCGACCGTAGCTCGAGCCCTTAACTGTGGCTCCAGCGTGATCTAAGGAATTCTACCAAAATCCTGTTCTCGTGTTTCTGTACCTTTATAGGCACAAGAAACATTTTTATCTTTAAAAGAGCATTTCAAAACAAAACTGCTCTACCTTAATGTCCATCTGTGAATTTGCTGCATCATGACTCATATTTATTGACTGCACAGCCTGCATTGCAATGAAAAAGAACATATAATCGTTCATACTGTGATCATAAAATAAATAATAAAGTATCGATCAGCACTTACTCTGTATAGAATTTCCTCAGGTGAAAGAACCTTTCCATCTTCGTCTAATCTGCCATAAGATATAACAAGTACACTATTCAAAGCGAGAAAACAGGACTACATGATCTTCGTGTTTACACTGACGTTTTTCATCACCCACATTGTGATCGCATTTGTGATAATGCACTTATATTGGAAGATGAAAAAATCTAAGTACATCAATGCTTCTTTTATATACAGTAATATAGTCAGTTTAGGGTTTATCTTTTTGATAAAATATCCGTAACTTTATTTGATTATTAACCCTTTACAGCCTCACATCAGCATGCAAATTCTCCTTACTGGTCTCCACACATTTCCTGAGGTACTGACAAGGAGAATATGCATAACAACGTACAGTTCCTTTAGTTGAGGATCATTTCCTTTCTTCTTGCAACATAAATGAGTGATTCAGGAGTGATATTGTAAGGAGAAATTAGATGCTAGTCACTCTAAGGGGTTCAAGGGTTAGGGCAAAAAGCAGCATTCCAAGCATTCTCCACCAACCTAAATGTCTTACACAACACCAGTCTGGAGTACACAGATTGGAAATCTCGGTCTACTTCACGTTGGCTGGCCTGATATAAAAATAACAAAATTAGCTTGGCCATACAAAATTATCTTAAAGAAAATTAGTGAACATCAGAACGCAAAATAGCCGCAGCAAAACTTCGGCATTTGGCGAGGTATCAGGGAGGCAAAACTTTGTCAAATTTTCCCATCTGTACTCCTCAGGAACAAGTCTCAAAGAATTTCTTGGGTATTGTAAATATACCGCAAATCCTGACGGTAAAAAAACTCTCGAAGCTCGTAAGAATTACCATTTGGGTGATTGGACTACTTTTGCTGAACTTCACTCTGTGAATTAGTAGGAACTCCCGCCACCATCTAAATAAATTAGGTGCAAAACTAAACCTACTTTCTCTAATTTGCCATTGACACCATTTAGAATTTCCGTTCATGACACTACATCCAAACGCTCTTTATCAGGGCACCATCCCCGTGAGAAAAAAAAAAAAAAAAAAAAAAAAGGTGGGGAAGTTATTCTAAGACTAAGCAGAGAAAGAGAGCTGAGTCAAGGTACCACTCACCTCTTCAACAAAGAGCCATGGATGACACGGTCCCCCAAGAATGGACGGCTTCCTCATGCCGTGCAGGAATATCGACTTCATTGCGGGACATAACCTGCCATGTATGAAGAGAAAATTAACACACTTTTTCCTAGGAAGGTCGAGGGAAGATTTCAAGTCAAATTCTCTCAGAAAGAACCAAGTACAAGCAATAAATATCACAACGAAACTTTTCCTATTTCCACAAAAAAGGACGAAGGTTGATTGTATTGGAAATTCCGGAATTAATTTATTGTATGTAAGGATTACCCGCTTTTGTTATTCAGTTGCGTTTGTTACAGACGGCTTATTTTTATACATGCAGTTGGAAATAGTTTGGTGTTTCCTTTTATGACTTACTTACCCGCCTCTGACGAGATCTGTTACAGTTTCAGACACCGAATCGTCTCCGGCAGTTGAGTACTACATCGGTAGATAGAGAAAAAAAAAGCATTGAAACCTTCGAGGAAAATCATCAACGTTTCAACTTTACCTAAAGATCAAGACACCTACCTCTTTACTTCTTTCGTCCAAAATCTCAACAAATTTGGCAGGGAACCAACCTGAAATAGCAAAAGATATGACAGGGGATCCACAAATGCACATACAGTATTTCTGACCACACTTTTAACAAACCGCGATAAATATTTGAAGGCCCTCTTGGGTAAACTTCGACTCACTACCCCTTCTATTCTTTTCAGCAAATAAGCTCGCATTTTGAATTGCAACAAAGTCCCTCGAGCACTAAGCCTCAACCGTTCCACTCCCACGACTGACCAATGAGCAATTTCGCCATACAATGTCAATACATTATCAACCAGACAAGTGATGAGAAGATTGTACACATAGTAAACTATCAACAGGGAAATATTGTTTGATTGGACAACAAATTCTCACAGCTACAATTACAAGGGATGTATTGAAGACAGAGAGGAGAATGGATATCGAGATCTTAAGAGTGAAAGGGTCAAAAAGACACTCTCTCACTGTCTAGCTGTACAGGAACTTGCAGGAAGAAAGCTTCTCGCAATCCATCCCACACTTTAATAACGATTTCATTCTGTTTGTATGATTGCACGACCATTTGCCTCACCTCTCAGACCATTCAATTCGCCAACCCAACAGTGTTCGTCTTTCTGTGAAATTATCTAAAATGAAAAAAAGATAAAAATTTTAATAGCGATCCAGCGTATAGCAAGGTTTTCTATTAAAGTAGCAGTCAAACCACTGCCAAGGCCCCTCACACCTAACTGTTTAGTCTGCAAGCGCTCTTTTGATGCGCAGAACACTGGAAATTACATTTCCAAACTCCTAGGTTTCATTTTTTTTCTATGGGAACATAACCATGGACCCCTAGCGGAAAGGGGCATAACAATACCTTTTCCAGGAACAGTCAACTCTTACATCATCGGAAGCAGCTTATGGAAAAATTTTATTGTTGTCTCACTACGTACCGTAACGATGTCATTTTTCCGGAATCCCAATTCGTCGTCATCATGTCTTTCAAAGTCCAATAGAGCTTTCGCTCTTCTGCGCCGATTCCTTCGAAAAAAAGGTGCAAAGAATGTCACCATACCTTGACACCCTACTTACAAAGAAATCTCTTCTAAAAGATTTTATCTGTGTCGCCAATATACCCTTCGTTCTATTCTTTATCACACACTCCGGGTTACAACTCTTTCTAATCGTTTCGTAACCAATATTTAACAAAACCATATCACGTGACCTTTACTCAACTATGGTTAAGACACTACATTGCTATGAATACCTCGCTACGTTGATGAACCTCTCATGGTCTCTTGCGTGACTTTCCATTGAATAGTCAACTTCCAGGCCCTGGAAGCAATCACAAACAATCCAAGTTGAGTAGATGGAAGCGAAACCGCCTCAACCCCCTCCCACTCCCCCCACGGGAAAAAAAAGCAATTCACCTGGACCCAGTTGTTCAAAGGCCGATTAGCGCTAACCCAGGATTAAATTTTAATCCAGGTTTCTATATTTCTCTGTTCAAAAGCCGTTTTGGAATAATTTTACCTATTGTTTTTAGAGCATTCAATTATCAAATTGTAGTAAAAAAGAAATAAACTGAATTGGCTCTTCAAGCTTTCAGATTTAAAATCAAATTTCACACTAACCCCAGGTTATCTTAACCCAGCTTTGAACAACTCGGCCCAAGTCACAATTGGTATTGGCTTAAAAGGTGGCGCAAGTCCTCTAAACCAATCAAAAGGACAAGAAAAACAAAAACCAATGCAATCGCGGATTACTTTAGACGCTCCATGAAAAACTGAGATTGAGTCTGAAAATCTCTTTGCGCGCTGAGTGAATCTTGAATTCTTCGGCCTTGAACGAAAGGAATGCTAACATAAAGTCCTCACCTTCTTGGGATCAATAGCATCGAAATGTCTGGCTATTTGGAGAATAGCTTCTCTCAAATCTGCTACTAATTCTGCAAAGACAAAACAGCTTCGCATAAAAATCAGCGAATGGTATAGTTAAGAGATACATCCAATTAAAATCAGGCGAAGGATTTCAAAAGACGTCTCTAAAGAGACATGAAAACAAGCCACAAAAGGCTCTCTCACCACCTGCATTATAACTATTTGCTCTCGCAAAGAGCTTACTTTTGAAACGTCAGCTTTCAAAGATTTACCTATTACCGTCATTATCCTACAATAAATCACCAACTTATGGTTGCAACATATTTAACAGTCTGAGTCTCCTGTTTCGGTTGTTTGAAGTTACTTACCTGTCTGTCTGATATTTTTAGCCTTCTGCAAGCTAACACCACCACCTCTTCCTGAAAGGAACACGAAAATGAACGCTCCATTAAGTAGAGAGAGATATCAGTTTTGGTATATGAAAACAGAAGTTTTGTTTCATAAAGTAGTTTTGAACTGAGTGTCCATAATTCACTAGGACTGCAATGATTTTGCTTCGCGACAGTCTTGATATGTCCGTCGCGCTCTAATAAATTATCACAATAACATGTACTCTCCTCTCTAGATGAGTGATAATTCTTTCAATCCTGGTTCAACTATGCTTGGGTTTTCAGCCTTCTCACTTCAAACACTTTGCGATAATATTTCAGCAGTTCACAAGTTCTCATGACACCAATCATGGCTGCCACTGACAAGACTCATTTTCAAAATTTCCTGACTCATCCCATCAAAAATACATACAAGTCATAGCGTAAATATACAGTGGCAAACCTTTGTCTCTTTGTTAACTCACCAAAGAGCAGACTAAAGAAAGTTCTTGGCGGAGCTATGGTGCGTTTTTGAAGCCGCTGCAAATAAAGAAAAATATACAGTTTGTTGTCTGGGTGAACATAATTGCAACGTTATTCTACTTCAATCCAATGTCTTACACCACTAAAACAACTTGTCTTACATCTCTGGACATTTGTTTTCCAGACTCCTTATCCATCAGAACCCCAAGGTCAGCCATGAGGAAAGCCATGTGCTTTTTTCTGTGTGTCTCCAGGATGACATCTGTCAGCGAGGCAGAAGCTTTGTTCGCTGCCTAAAAATTTAAAACAACGACTTACTTTTATTAATACAAAGTGAAAATAACATTTCGTATCATGTGCAAACTAAAAACCAGCGTATCAGGCACTCAGTGAGAAATCAAGTCACACGCACGAAATAGGCTAAGACACATCCCTCGCCCGTGACTCATCGCTCGGGTGCCGGCCTAGATCAATTAGAACGAGCGCCTACTAGGCCACTAAAACAAGGCAAATTGAGAGTGACCAGCATCTAATTTCTCTTTACAATATCACCCCTGAATGACACAAAACGGTCACGAGAATAAAAGAAATGATCACCTAATAAAGAAGCCTTTGATTTTTAGACAAGTTCTCCTTGTCAGCACCTTAGGAAATGTACAGAGAACAGTATGGAGAATATGCATACTGATGTTAGGGTGTAAAGGGTCAAGATGATAGAGCCACACACGTATGTTGTTGTCGAGTTCGACGTTAGAAACAGAAATCAAGCACATGTACCTCTAACAGTTCATCTGCATCCTTGACATCACCCGGTATATCAGAGAGTGTGTTGAAGATCTGCGCTGAGTTGTCCAGCTTTAAAATGATATCTTCCTGTACAAACATAATTTAATCAAGACATTAAAACTCGCTTTTAAGTGCACCTGAAGTAATTATTTTTTTACAGCAGATCAGAAATTGCATTAAAATCTCTCATTCTTTACCAGACTTACATGCACAGTAACATAGTAAATTCAACTTTGGTCTAGAGTTAGATCATACCTTCATTTTAAGCATACCAAGAGTGATTCTGAACAATGTCACTGAGCCTTCATACAAGAAAATATCCCAAACCCTTAACAGGATCTGCAATTAAATGGGTGATGCAAAAATAAACAAACCATTAATTAATTGCAGCTGTACATGTATACGACTATCAATAATAATTACCTTGTATGTAGCTATGTACCATTTAATTTTTAATTTTTGGAAAATGAGACCCACATTGTAACTTAACAAGACAACTGGATGGCACAATAGTACTTCACAACATTAACAATTTAATGTCTTGGTCACTGATGGGAGTTTAAGGGTGAAGTGGTTATTTACAGCCATCTATTTTTTAATGATTAATGATATCATTTCTGTACCTTAGTGTGTACAACACTAGCAAATGCTGTCAAGAACCAGTGAAGCGTAATCAGTGACAACTCAATGTCGTGCTCCTTTAATTGTTCATCCATTGGTGGAAGGTAACTGACAATCAGCTGCCGCAGAACTCTCTGATCAGCCTGGATACATTAATAAAAATTGTAGGACTTGTGTTTAATTTTCAAACTTACAGCTCTGCAACTCTTATAGTTAAGACAAAATTTATGGTAGCAATAATTTACCATGTGCACAATACCAGCCTTGATAATATGAAGTCACTTTTGAGCCTTTTCAACTGACCATTGTCAGAAACCTGAGATTACATAGGTTTTATTTACATGTGGTATGTGCATACTGACTTAACAAGAAAACCTTGGCCAACTCCTCAACCAATCTGATGAATAACTAATCTAGGTCAATCATTTTTTTCCTGAGACAGGTTCATTCCTTTATTTCCTTTTGGTTCATATCGACTCCTTGTGATATTCCTGTTTTTTCTGAATGGCCAATATTTTACTACAGGTATCATTTTGATAAAAATTATTACATTTCCACTGCCCTGTGCTTCAAGCCTTATTTTTTAGTTCCCTAGTGCCTTTCATAATCAGTATTTTAAATGAGAAAAGCCCTTCAAAAGTTAGTCCTTAATAATCTGGACAGAGCTACACTTAAATTTGATTTACATTGTATTACAATTTTAAAATGGCTCTCTCAAAGAGATTATCACCTGTACACCAATCAAAGTGCTTGAATAATACGATGTAGGTACAAGATCCTCAACTATAGTGCACATCAACCAAAAGGCATCTTCTTCCTCCACAAAGAGTAACAGGGATGCAACAATCTAGAAAGAAAGAAAGGTACACCAAAAATATATGCCAAGTTAAAGTGAATACTGCCAACAACAGTCCTTTTCAGTGATGATTCCACTATCCGATTACCATTTCCAGAAACAAAAAATAATTTGCGTGGTCAAAATATGTTGGAAGGTGCTTATAGTGTGGGGATCATGCTGCATTTGTGGTGTTTTAAAAACAGGACCACAGCATTAGGTTTGCTGCTTAGGAAAATTATCTTATAATACATGCATATCATAGCAACTAGTACATTGTACATGCAGGAAGACATTTGACAGCCAAACTAAAACTTACCATGCCCATTCCTTGACAATAGCCAATGTCAGTGTATAACCAAGCCAGGGACCTAAGAATCCTTCTGAGCCGTAGAAGTCCTGTACTGGTTGGTGTTGAAAAACATGCATTGTTTGGCATGGTTCGCAACAAGTCCTGCACAGACACAATTTAAACTTTACTAACTTTTAAAATAGATACAAAGTTACATTTTATATCCTATTTGATGATTAGATCAAATAATTTGTTCTGAATAATACTTCCAGTAATCAACATACATGTATAGTATTCATCAACTCAACAAGTATGTATTGGGCCATCTTAATTCTACAAAATGATAAGAGTGGACAATGCTTTTGTACAATGTACAAACAGTGTACAACACTTAGGGCCATTACTGTCTTCAAAGTTCACACCTGGGATAAAAAGGAAAGTCAAATATAACACACTAGCTCACCTTTTCAATTTGTTTGGCTGTCAAAGAATTTTCATCTGCACTTGCCCTTACAATTTGCTGAGAGAATCCAGGAAAAAGAGAGTCAACCATGCACTGTGCAACTTACAAATATGGTAGCAAATATTTACAAAAGAAAAAAAACAAACTAAACAATATACTGCACATCATATACTTGTACATGCACAGGTACAATGAGTTGTGAATTCTAAATTGTTTACCATACAATGTACCTGTAAATGATACAACATGGGGAAGGTTCATACCTGCATGTTATAACACCTTAGTGACAGATCAAGAATTCTTTAAACAGTTTAATTTACAAAAAAATATAGAACAGGTAATTCAGAAACTCACCTTGTAAGTAAAATCACTGCTAATTTTCTTCTGTAAGGCTCCAGATATTCTCATCCAGATCTAGAAAAGAGTACCAGTGACTGATGTTATCAACATTAGTAGAGATCCCAGTTACTCATCTTCAACTTCTGTGAATGACTTGTACAGCTGAAGTTGGTTAATCAATGGAAGAGTTATAATGCATATAAATTTTAATTTTTTAGTTTTTACTCACTGGAGCTCTCATGCTGTGGGGAATTCCAAGATAAACAAGCTCTCGTAACTTGTCTGAATGAGGAAAACTTGGAGAAACCTAGTAAAAAATTATAGTGAGAAAATAACAAGTGCAAGGATGAAAAAAAAATTGAAACATATGTGTGCTAATTTCATTATGAATGCATTTTAAATTTATATAACCAACGAAGATGATTGTCTAATAATTAGAATTAAATAATCCACATGAGATTTGATTAACATTTACCTTGTCCCAAGTCATTTCACCAACATCTTGATTTTGTGTGAACTCCAAGAAAGCTGTCCATTTAAGTCTAAGTCCCTCATCCTCACTTGTCACAAAACTACCTGGATCTGGATCTTTGTGTTCAAATTCTAAATCTGTAATAAAGCATTATATCAAAAATGATCAACACAATATTTCAAATAAAAATATATTATTGATTGCCTGGACATGAAATGTGGGGCCATATATTGGCAAACCAGGTTTCTGCAACAAACTGTTCAATTTTTATTGCATCCAAATCATTCAGACAAGCCACATCAATAACTACATTAATCTAAACTAGTGTTAATTTTTTTAGAGCAAAACCTTGCAGTAGAGTTACAGAATTTCATAAAAATTCAATATTAAAACAAGCAAATTGAGGCTGTCATCTATTCCTAAGTAGTGCAAGTCCCAACCACTTGTCTCCTTCTGTCCCTGAGCTTTAAAGAACAAAGAAGTAAACCATGATGCCACTAGAAGAACTTACCTCCATCAACCATAAACCCAAATTCATCATAATGTCCAGTTGGACGACCTCCTGCATCTTCTGTCTGTAAGGTACACCAAAAAAAAAAAAACAAACAAAACACCAAGATGATATAAAAAAGATGTTACTTCTACTTTGGAACCCTCTCAATATGATCTGCACAATTAAACCTGGAAAACTTAAGGTAATGAGAAAAAATGGGTTGATCATATTAAAAAAAAGGTCCTAACATGAATCAAATCAATCATCAAGTAAAGTACCATTGACATATACAGTAGCATGTTACAGGATCAATGCAACTCTATATCAGTATAGGAAGATTTATGAAAACTTTCATGCTTTGAATAAGTACTTCTGTAAGCGGAAAAAATTATATCTGATGTTTTTGCAAGGATCCTTTTTTTTGTAATAATTTCTTGTTTTAACTGTTCACCATCATCAATTTATGTTCCAGTTGAGTTGAAGAAAAGAGCTGATTAAAGAGAGAAAGTGACAGCAACACCTTAAGCATTACACTTTCATCATGTGAACCTGGTTAATTTAGTAAGAATAATCATATTTTTTGTTTTAGAGGAAAGTTGCAGTTGTGAGATACAATTACCTGCTGAATTCTTGACAGTAGGTCCTGTGGCCACATACTCGGTGTGAGAGCAGAGAATGGACCACCAATAGCTGGCACAAAAGAGCCTGTAATTGGAGTACCACCAGTAGCAACATGGATGGAGGAGTCATCCCAAGCAAGGGTGTTATCATGGACAGCATCATCATCTTCATCTTCACTCAGGGTGGGAGCTAGGTGCAAAAATACA